GTTGGCCCTCTTCCAGTCCTCCGGCACCTCTCCAGAGCACCACGAGTGTTCATAAAGCCACGCCAGGGGACTTGCAATGACCCCAGCCAGTTCCTTTAGTACTACAGCGCAATAGCATATTAGGACAGTTTTGGCCCGGTACGATACTGTGTGGTGTTATTAGGCTGCTGTGCAGTTAGTGTCTCATGTAGACATGCCCACTAAGTCCCATTTTAACATAGTCCTCGACTGGGGGGTTTGTGTGCCTGTTTATGATCATCAGTTTATGCATCTTTATGAGCTTCCCTTCCCTTCCACCAGTGAGGGCTTCTCTGATGTATGAATAGCTGGTGTCTGGTGAGGGTCACCCTTGATACTTGATTTAGCCATCACCCCATGATTATTACTATTACCCGAATGGAAGTTGGCACAGAGCCATGCCAGGAAGGAAAGGAACTGAGCATAAAAATACATCCTGTCAGCACACTGAGCATGTCTACATGTGCACTTACTGCACAGTAATTACTGCCCAGTAAGTTACCCCACACTAAGTGGTTTTTAGGCCAGCATCTACACATGCAGGTCTTAAAGAGAATTAATACTGTGTGTGGATTGATTTGGGACTAAAATGAGTCCTAAGTCAGTCCACGCACACAGCATTACTGTGCAATAAGGTGTCTAGATGCCCATTACTGCACAGTAACTAATCAGGCACCTGCATTATTCAGGTATCAAATTTATACCCGATTAGTTACTGCGCAGTAACGCACATGTAGACACCTTTATGCTCAAGCTGGCATAAGTTGTCATAGTTACTGCACAGTACAGGCATGCATGGGTTGATGCACACCCATACTGCACAGTAGTTTTTAGTTACTGTGCAGTAACCTAAATTACTGTGCACTAAATGTGCACATGTAGATGAGCCCACTGAGAGCAATGTGGGAATGGCATGCTACATGACAAAGGAAAGAGACAGGCTGCAGTGGTGGAGCCATGCAGGACCTTGCAAGCGAGAATGAGGTGTCTGAATATGAATTTTGGGCGGAAGGAGCCCAAAACCAAATGCGGAGCTGTACGAGGAGGTGCAACATGGGCCAAGCAGCAGGCAAGGGAGATCAATTTAGCAACAGCACAAAAATGATCAAATCGAACATAGCTTAACCTTAGCTATAAACAGAGATGAAGCACCACATTAGTAAATCTAATTTGGGAAAAGATCCATGTGTGACACTTGACATATCCCAAAATCAACCCTGTTTGGGGTGAGTTTGAGATGGTTTCCTAGTGGACAGAGCACTCAAGCAAGCTGTGTTTTGTTCACATCCCTGCCACTGGTCTCCTGGGTGACCTCAGGCATATCACTTGTCATACCTGTACCTCAATTCTCCCCCCGAAACGTACAGTGCGTTGAGACCGACTTATGAAAAGTGCTACAGCTGACATGTCAGCAGTATTATTGTTATGTTGCTATTTTGATGACTTTGCATATTAGCATCCTGATATTGCAAGTACCGTGCACTGAATATTATCCCACGGCAGACCGTGAGAAGAGAGGGAAATTTACAATTGGCTCCGCTCATCTTCCCATATAATAATTAATTTAGCATACATATACAGCACTGGTAATAACTCTTAGTCTGCTAAACCTCAGACAGGAGCAGCAATGTGTGACTACCTTTCTCTTTTTCTATATTTTTGCAGGGAACAGCCAATGCGGTGGGAATTATTCTCTTAATAAAATAACTCTGGCCTCCAGTCGGTGATCCTTTTATTGTATGTCCGAGGTAAATCATTTTCAGTAATAAAAATGATGGTGACACCCAATTCGTATGGGAAGCAGGAAAAGTGTGGACGAAAATGAGCGATGGGCCTTGGAGTAGGGGCCATTTACGGAGTATGGACTGCGGAGAAAGAATAAAGACAGGTCCCTGCTGCCAGGGGGTGACTCCCTAGGACTCGGGGGGGGTGGAAATATTTGGATGCTAATACTCGCTTGCGTACCCTATGGGCTTGGCTTGGGTCAGGCTGCGGGGTCGAAGGTGCTGGTGCTAAATAGGTAAGAGATACACATATAGCACCACCACCTTCAACCCGGCAGCCTGACCCAAGCCAAGCCCGTAGGCGATGCACGTATATATGTGTGTGTGTTGTGTATGTTTGTGCGTGGGCTTGCTTGTTTGCGTGCATATGAGTGTGCTTGCACATGGGCGTTCATGTGCACCTGGGCGCGTGTTCGCTGGTGTGTGCGTTTGAGCGTGCGTTCTTGTGTTTGCATGGGTGTACATTTGCGTGCACGTGTGTGTGTTCATGTGTTTGCCAGAGTGCATTTGTCTGCACACGTGCATGTGGGCATGCGTGTGTGTACGTTTGCATTTGTGTACATCTGCATGTGTGCCCGTCTGCGTGTGTTCATGTGTTTGCAGGTGTGCGTTTGTGTGTTTGCACATGCATGTGCACGTAAACGGCGGTGTGTTCGCAGAGCCTTGCATGTTGGCGTGTGCTCACGTGAGTTCATGTGTACAGCACTTTGGTGTGTTCGCACGTGTGTGTGCGTTTGTGCACACACACGGGGGTTTGTTTGCTGGGGTGTGTGCACGCCTGCGTGGTTTCCCACGTGTGCCTGTGTGTTCGTGCATGTGCATTTGTGTGGGGGGGGTTGCACGTGCGCGCACACGGGTGTGCGTTGGCTTGTGTGCGCACGTTTGCGTGTGTGTGTGTGTGTGCGCGCGCAACTTGTGTGACAGGCACCGCGGTTGCCAGGGAAACGGCCCGCACCCTCCCCCGCGTCACATGACAGCGTGTCGCTCCTCACGTGACCGGCCCGCCGGGGCTCGCGGAGATGACGTAACCCCCGGTTGCGGGCGCGCGGCGGTGACGTATGGGGGGGGTTGACCAGCTGTGGGGATGGAGGAGAAAGAACAGCTGCAGCGTCAGATCCGCCTGCTGCAGGGTAAGGGGGGGCGGGGGGCCCCGGGA